GAGGCAGCAGGGGCCGGACCGCGGAAGGCGAGGGACGCCGGGCAAAGCGCACAGGAGGGGGCCCACGGAAGGCAGAAACGGGGAGGACAAAGGCGGCCGCACGCGCGGAGGAGGGGGAGGACAAAGAAGACCGGGACAGCAGCGGACGGGGGACCAGGCCAGGGGGGGGGCGGGCCGGGCCCGGCGAGAGGGGCCCGAAGACCCGCCCAGAGCGGGCAGGGCAAAAGGCCAGCCCGGGGGGGGGGGTTAGGGCCGCGCCTCCGCCGGACGTCTGCCACGTCGGTCCGCACGAGAGGACCTCCCAGATCCGCTGCAGCGGGAAGGCCTTCTCCTTGAGCATCGCGCGCACGACCTGCTCAAGGAGAAGTCGAAGTCTCAAGAAGGAGGCGCCTCGTCCCCTCCTCGCGCTTGACCGCGTCGTCGCGGCGCCTCGTCCCGAGCCCTGTCCCGCTCCCGCGAGGGTAGCTGCGCCTGCTGGGTAGCTGGCTGGGCAGGCGCCTGCGCCTCGCACGCCCAGCCCGCCCGCACCACGATGGCCGCCTAGAGGCGCTCCAGAACACTCTCCGACGGCTCCAGGCCCGCTCAAGCCCCGCACCCGCAGCGGCGGCCTCCCCCTCCGCCGACGCCGTCGTGTCGCTCTCCCAGCTGTGCTGCTCACACAAGCTCTCGCCGCCGCCCGCCCGCCCGCTCTTTGCGTCGGGACTCGGCGCGCGCGCGAGCGGGGGCCTCACCTCTGGCGCCCTCGCGAGAGCCCCGGCGGAACAAGCTGCCGGCGCAGAGAGCGGCGGCGTCGGCGGCGAAAGCGGCAGTGGGGCGGAGCTATCGTCTTGCCGGAGGGTGGGGCCCGAGACAGCCAAGGCCGCGAGGAAAGACGCGAGGAAGGGGAGGAAGCCGTGCAGCAGCTCAAGGGAGGGCATGCGATCGTCGCCCGTCCGGATGCGGAAAACCACAGTACTGCACGCCACCGCGCAAGCCAGGTACCCCGCGGCGAGTAGCTTGCGGGTGGTAGGCAGCGGCTGCACGCCAAAGGTCGCGCCGCCCGCAACGCAGACCGTGAGGAAGCCCAGCCTTCCTTCTGCCAAGCTGTCCACGTCACGGGCCAGCTCTGCCGGCGAGCAGACCAGGGCTTGGACAAGCCGCAGAGTCGGGCCACAGACGACAAGCATCGTCGTCGCGCGCGCCACAAAGCGAGGCGAAGCCCGCGCCAGGTTGGCAACGACCAGCAGCGCGAAGCCTGCGACCAGGAAGAGGAAGGCAGGGTCGGTGTAGAGCTCGGCCGCGAAGGAGGCGCACACCTACAGGAAGAGTCCGAGAAGGCTCTCGGAGCCGGCTCCGAGCAGAGACTCGGCCAGGGGGGCGGCCCACGCCGCCGCGAGAGCGAGCGAGAGCTGGACCAGCTTGCTCTGCATCACGTCCAGGCGCGAAGCGCTCTGGGGGGAGACAGCGTCTCCCTCCCCTGTGGCCTCCTCCGGGGACGTTGGCGGCGGCGGCCCCGCCGGCATGCCGCCACGGACTTGGACGGCGGTCGGAGCCCCTGCAGGCGGGACGCCGCCGACCTCCGCATCCAGGTGGGCTTCCGCGTCCTCGATGTGGCGCGGCGACGTCCGCTCCGAACCGCAGCCCGGCGAGAGCGGCGGAGGCGGCGCCCGCCCGGCGAGCCCCCCGAGCACGCCGGCGGTGAAGGGGACGTTTGTCCACACCCAGCAGCCGGCGGCCAGAGGCCAGTCCCCGAGTCGGGTCGCCCAGATCGCGAGGCCGGCGAGCCGCAGCAGCGCGAGCAAGACTGTGGTCCTCCACACGTCGGAGGGCGCCATTGGCTGCACGCCGGTCAGCAGGCCGGCGAGGAAGGCGCACGCGGCGACGGGGGTGGAGTGCCGGATGGAGGTCAGCCTCGCGAGGAGCACATGTTGCGGCCTCATCGCGCCGAGCAGGATGACCACGACGAGCTCGTGCGCGACCTGATGCACACGCGGGTCCAGAGTGTGAAGAGACGCTCCGCGCAGCAGGAGGGCCACGACGCAGCAGCAGGGCGGACCCCGCCGGCGACCCACAATCGGGCCGCCTGCACGCGCCCGTGCCTGCAGAGCACGGACGCGTAGAGCAGCGTGATGCCCACGCCGAGCGACTTTGGCGCCAGGAGCTGCCCTGCCCCAGCTTGCCCCAAGCTGCCAAATCCTGGTACGTTGCCGGCGACGAGGGCGATGGCGAGCGTGAGGCTGATTGCGACCGGCGACCAGGAGAGCGAAAGGGGGAGCGACGGGAGGTGCGACGGGAGGAGCAACCAAGCGGCGCCCTTGCCGCCCCCCTCCTCCGGACCCCCCTCCGGAGGCGACGGTGGCGCCGAGTGCAGCACCTCTGACTCGGCAAGCCTGTTCACAGCTAGAGGTGTGAAGAGACGCTATTCCACAGCCCCGCAGCACCTCTGACTCGGCAAGCCCGGTCAGGACGAGCGCAGCAAGCGCCTCGTCCCCGCCGGCGATATCCCCCTCGCTGTCCACCCTCGCCCCGGAGGCGGAGGCCTAGGCACGAACTCGGACGTGTCGCGGACGTGTCACGGACGTCTCCCTCGCCCCGGAGGCGGAGGCAGCCGCCGCGCACGCAGCAGCTGGCTCTGTCCCCCCCTCGTCTGCTGACGGGGCGGTGGGCTGCGGCCGCAGGGGCGTAGTCTCTGCTGAAGGGGCGGTGGGCTGAGGCCGTAGTGGCGTAGTCGACCGGGGCCTCACCGGGGCGGGGAGCGCCCTCCCCGCCAGCGGCTGGACCTGCAGCAGCTGCTGCTCCAGCTGCCCCCGCAGCTCCACCTTCACCCGCGCCTGCTACAGGAAAACCTTATGTCAGCATCGAATGCAAGTACCGGGGAGGGGCGGGGGGGGGGGGGGTTGCGCCTGCTCCTTGAGGAGCTGCTGCTGCTGCTGCAGCGGCGGCGGCGGCCGCTGCTGCGGCGGCGGCGGCTGTGGCGGCGGCGGCTGCGGCGGCGGCGGCTGCGGCGGCTGCCTTAGCGGTTGCACCCTCTCAAATGCAGACCCGCCGGACCGGTGCTGCAGTTGCGGCGGCGGCGGCGGATGCTGCGGCTGCGGCCTCAGCGGCTGCGGCGGCGGCTGCGGCTGCGGCGGCGGCGGCGGCTGCGGCTGCGGAGTCGGCTGCGGCTGGGGGGGCGGTCGGTGCTGCGGCGGCAGCGGCAGCGGCGAGACATGTGCCCCTGCAGCGAACTGGCCATGCAGGGCAGGAAAGGGCAGAGCGCAGGCCGAACTGCTAGCAAAGCTGGGGGCGGCGGCGGGAAAGGCCTGCCCCCCCAGCGCGGGCCACGCAGCAGGCCCCGCCGGCCGGACGGGGAGGAGCGACGCGAGCGGCAAGGGGCCAGGCATGAGCCCACCACTCCCGGGCGTCAGCGCTGCGGCGGGGAAAAGCCCCGGTTGCATCAGAGCTCCCGGTATGGCATGCGAGGAGGCAAACAGCGGCGGGTGGCCAGAGATGAGAGCAAACGGCCGCTTGTAGGCCCCCGCCGTGTCTTCCCTTTCCTCCTCACGGTCGCGGTAGAGGCGCCGGCAAATTCGCGCGCGGCAAAGCTTTTTTCGCTTGCCAGTCCCGCCAAAAGGGAGCTTGTCCTGGCACTCTCTGCACTCGCCACAGTCCGAGAGCAGCCGGCAGCCGTCACACGCCATGCAGCGCACGCGGCGCGGCTTGTGGTTCGGCTGCATATATTATACATGCAAAATTGTTGGCTTGCTGAGCGGCGGTATCGGGTGTGCTGGGGGCGCCGCTGTCAAGTCACTCTCGTCGCTTGGCGATATTGCAATATGAGAGATTTGGTCGACTAAGTTGAGGGCACCTTTACGTTTTCGACTACGGTAAGGGTTCTCTGCCGGGTCGGTGAGGGCCCGAGGCACCTCCGACTGCTGCGAAGCGCCCCTCCGCACGGGGTTGCAGAGTCGGGAGGGAGCGAGCGCCCCATTCTTCTCGCATACAACGAATGCGCTCGTTATTTTGTTTTTGACCGTGTAAATGCTGCGGGAAATGCTGGGCGGCCGTCCCAGATAGGTAGGTAGGTTGGTCTTGTTTGGCCCAAAAAGGCCCTGCAATAGGTAGGTAGCCCTTTTCATCTTTGACTTTGTTCGCTTCGCTGCGCGGCCTGGGGATAGGTAGGTAGGTAAGGCGTTTTGGCGCGAGTCAGTGGCAACAGACCCCCTATCCGGCTGGAGCCGGAACCCTGCGGTAGGGGAGTAAGAATTTTGAGGGAGTAAGAAATCGTAAGAAATCGTCCTATGCGCGGGGCTTCCCGCGGGGACCGAAGACGTAACAGCAGCAGTAAGAAATCGCGCCGAACTGATAAGCTGTGTCCTGCCGTTCTCACGCTGCTCATCACGCCCCCCGGTTAAGCTGCGGTGCAAAACTCTTTTTACCACCTTCAAGTACACCCCCACCCAAGACTCCCCCAAACCGCCCAGGATGAGCTCCTGAGGTGCCAGTCCAGCCGTAGTGTCTGTGAGTAGCGGGGGAGCGAGTAGATAGCCGAACGGGGGTTTTTCCCCGACCTCCCCGAGGTCGGCCTGCGACCTCCGAGAGGTCTTGCGCCGCTGCACCCGCCGGGTTTTGCGAGCCCGGAAACGCTGAAAAGTAGGCTAGTAAGCGGGTGTTCTGTGTGGCTTGAGTAACAATCAAAGTTCTAAAACCGCCCGGAGGTGCTGTCACTCCGTAGAACGAACTAAGTAAACCTCACCGAGGTCGTCACTCAACCTCCCGGAGGTCATGGCAGAGCGTCGGGCGCCATGCGCCCGCTCGCCAGGGCCCGGCCCGGGGAGTGGCAGTCGCTCTTCTTGCGACCTGCGTCAAAGGCTGCAGAACACGCTGCATATCGCCGGTTCACGGGCCCAAGGCGATGGTTCACGCCTCGGGTCCGGCGGCAGCTCACGCCCTGCACAAGGTAAACTCCCAGTTCCGCAGGCCTCCAGTAGTGCCTCTCAGTTCGACACCTCGGTCTCGACCAAAAAAGAAAGAAAACAGACAACCCAAGGGAGGGATGGGAGGACGGCACGCCGCCACCACACAGGGATTTTAATCGGTCTCGACCACGACCAGACTGGGAGGGGGACACAGCTTTTTATCCAACAGAGCGCCCGCCGCCCCTTTGTGGCCCAACCAAGAGACCAAGACAAGAACACGGCGGCCGCGCTGCCGCAGTTGCCCGCCGTGCCCGCGAGTCGCATGGGCTGCACGCACTCCAAAGAGCATTCGACGGCGAACAAGCCACCAGCTGTCGGAATCCTGCGCTGCCACGGGGCGCGGTGGATGCCGGCGCAGGCAGTGGTGGGCACCAACTCGTACCTGTTTCGCACGGTGCATGCCGAGGTGAAGGGTCTTCGCTACCTAGACGTTCGAGCGGGTAAGGAGCTGTCGGTGTCGCAGAAGAAGGCGCTGAAGGAAGCTGTCAAGGAGCTCGACGCGGAGGGCGTTGTCGCAATCACCGGAGACTGCGGGTCTTTCGTCCACTACCAAACGGCGGTGCGGAGGATGACCAAGACACCAGCCGTGCTATCGCCGCTGTTGCAGGCCCCGCTGCTCGCGACAATGTACATGAAGGAGGAGACCATACTCGTCCTAACGAACGACAGCAGCGACTACGACCAGGCTGCGCTCGAAAGCAACCTTGTCGAGATTGGGCTGTCCCAGGAGGACGCGGCCCGCTTCGTCATCCAGGGTCTGCAGCACATCGAAGGGTTTTCCACTTCGGAGGTTGCGGATATGAGCGACGAGCGAACATGGGCCATGGTCGACACCTCCGAGAGGCTCCGCTTGGAGATTATGAGCACCATTGAGGCCGCGAAGAAGGCCAACCCATCCTTGCGCGCCATTCTGCTCGAGTCGACGCTGCTACCCTCCTTTAGCGACTCGATGCGCCAGACGCGCGGCGTTCCTGTTTTTGATGCAATCACGCTCGCAGACTACCTTGCGGCAGCGTCGACCGACAACCCTCGCTTCGGCAGCAACATCGACGCCAGCGTGTGGTCCTCTGCAATGGAGCGCGCCAATGTGATGGACGAGCTGTCCCAGAGGGCCACCCCAGCCATCGGCATCCTCCGCATCGACTACTCGTATCCCCCGGCGCCCGGCGACGTTGACTACCCCGGGTCCTACTACTATCGCACAGTGCAGGAGGTGGCCGCCGGCCTCACCTTTGAGGCGGCGCAGGAAGGAAGGCCGCTGACCGCACAGCAGCGCGAGGCGATGGAGGGTGCGATCCGGAGGCTCGAGGCGGCGAAGGGCGTCGTGGGAATAACGGGCGACTGTGGGTTCCTCATGAACTACCAGGTGGATGCGCGACGCATGTCCCACCTGCCGTGCTTCATCTCGGCCATGATGCAGTGCCACATGCTCGCCGCCTCCTTCGCCGCCGACGAGGAGTTCCTCGTCCTCACCGCCAACGGCAAGTCGCTCGCGCCAAAATTCGGCGAGATGCTCTCGCTTGCACACGTCACTAGGCCAGAGGACCAGGCGCGCTTCCACATCCTCGGCTGCGAGGACGTGGACGGCTTCGACGCAGTCGCCAAGGGAGAGGCGGTCGACGTCGCGCGCGTCACGCCGGGCATCGTGGCCCTCGCCAAGGCGGCGGCGGCGAGGAGGCCGAAGGTGCGCGCAGTCTTGCTCGAGTGCACCGAACTCCCGCCGTACGCCGACGCGCTGCGGCACGCGCTCCGCATCCCAGTGCTCGACGCCATCACGCTGGTTGATTTTGTGCACTCCGCGAGCACCGACAACCCCGCCTTTGGCGTCGACTTCCAGAAGAGCTCAAAGGTCTTTGTCTGAGGCGTGAGGCTGCTTAACACGGACGGGTCGATTGCGCCGCGTCCGTCGGTGAAATGAACAACGCGGGCTAAAATGTAAAACTTATTCTTGTTGCGCCTATATGCATACGCGCTTCCTACAGTACAACCTACTACAGATACTCCGCAGCGGCGAGCTCAAGACGCTTGGCGTACACACGCGCGGCACTTGCCGCCCGCTCCAGCCGCTTCAGATCGCCGAGAGCGCCGATGTCATAGTCACGAAGCTTCAGATCGGCAGCTCGAGAGTGGCGCGCATTTTCGTACGCTCTCGTCGCGTCTCGGCCGGCAAGCTTCTGGATGATCGTGCCGCCGCCAGGGTGGTGACCGAGGTAGGCGGTCGCGTCAAGTACGCGGCCTCCGATGACGATCCAGCAAGCAAACTCAGAGGCGTGCTGGCGGACAATGCTCCAGCCGGCCTCGTCGTCATTGGCTGCACTGCTGCTGCTGCTGCTCGCGGCCTGCACTCCAGCCTCGCCGGTCGCCCGCCGCCTCTCGCGTCTGCCGTCGGCGGACTCGAACCACTCGTCCTCCGCCGCGGGCGCCAGAACAGAAGGGGCTCTATGCTGCTGTTTCTGCAGCGTACGTAGAAGCTCAGCGCCGGTCGGCATGGCGTGAATCGATGTGAGCAGAGCCTCGACCAATCTCCTGTTCACGGTGGAACCGTGAACAAAGAGCTTCTTCGAACACAAACACGACGCGAGCCGCCCAGCAGGGAGCCTGGGCTACTCGCTTTGACCGCACTGTCTGGACATGCGGGCCGCGGCTGACAGAACGGCGGGCTAGGCATTGAGAGCCCAGGAGTTTTAATAAGAACGAAACCCCTCTTCTCAAAACCCCGGGAAACGAGGGCACGTGGTGTCTGTCATATGCTCCGCGCCCTCCTATCCCTCCTTACGCTCTCGGCTGCCACGGGTGACAACTGCGCGTCGGCCAGCCCCAACATCGTCGTCGTGGGCTGGTCGTGCATGGACATGATCTCCTATGTTCCTGCTCTCCCCGCTGCCGGCGAGACGCTCGCCGGCAGCAGGTTCTCGCTTGGGTACGGCGGTAAGGGAGCCAATCAAGCCGTTCAGGCAGCCAAGCTCGGAAGCCGTGTGGCCATGGTCACCAAGGTTGGGGATGACCTACACGGCAATTCAACGATTCGCAATTTTGAGGCCCATGGGGTCGCCATCTCGCACGTTTCTCGTGGCCCACCTGGGGTTTCCCACGGCGTTGCACCCATCACGGTGGATCAGTCGAGCGGCGAAAACTCGATCGTGATTGTTCTCGGCGCGGGCGGGCTGCTCTCTCCCGAGGATGTGCGCAAGGCGCAGCCGGCGTTCGCTGAGGCGGGCCGTCCTCCCGGAGGCGTGCTGCTGGCGCAGCTCGAGGTGCCCCTCGAGACGACGCTGGAGGCCCTCTCGCTCGCGCGCGCCGCGGATCTCACCACTGTGCTAAACACGGCGCCTGCTCCCTCACAAGGCCTTCCGGACGCCCTTTGGCCACTCGTCGATATTGTCGTTGCAAACGAGCCCGAGCTCGCGGCGCTTGCCGCCGCGCCCACAGCCACCAATGCCGACGTCGAGGCTGCTGCCGCTGTTCTCCTGGCGCGTGGCGCACGGAGCGTCCTCGTGACACTCGGCCCGCGGGGCTGCGCCCTTTTCAATGCTTCCGAGGCCCCGGTGTTTGTGAGTGCGCCGCGCGTGGTTGCACCGCGCGACACCACCGGCGCGGGAGATGCTTTCCTTGGCGCCTTCGCCCACCACCTCTCCTCCGGCGCAGCGATCAAGACGGCGCTTCGCCGTGCTAACGAGTGCGCAGCCGCGTCCGTGGAACGGGAGGGCACTCAGAGCTCGTACGAGAGCGCCGCGTCGCTGGCCGCACGCGAGGCTTCACTGGTGGTGTCCCTCGTCGACCACACTCTTCTCGGGTCCGATTATGACAGCGCCGAGGCGATCGACCAGCTAGTGAGGCAGGCAGCCGGCGCCAACGAGAGCGAGACGTCAGCGGCTGCTGTGTGTGTCTGGCCCCGGTGGGTGCCGTTGGTCAGGCAGCTGCTTACCGGATCCGACCCGTTGACCGCGCCCGACAAGGCGACGTTTGGCAAAACGTTGATGCGTGTGGCGACGGTTGTCAACTTCCCTCACGGAACTGCAGACGTGGCTTCAGTCGTGGAGGAGGCGCGTGCGGCGGTGGCGGCCGGTGCAGACGAGATCGACCTAGTCATTAACCATGCGCTGCTCGCCCGCGACATTGGCGTGGGGGCTGCGGCCGCGGAGGATCTCGTGCGGGCCGTGCGGGAGGCGACGCCGACGACGGGCCGTGCGAGTGAGGGCGAGGAGGGCGAGGGCGAGGGCGTACTGCTTAAGGTCATCATCGAGAGCGGCATGCTCGGCAGCGCCGCCGCGATCCGGGCGGCGGCTGAGGCCGCGCTGTCGGGCGGGGCTGACTTTGTGAAGACGTCGACCGGCATGTGCATGTGCATGTGCATGTGCATGTGCATGTGCATGTGCATGTGCATGTGCATGTGCATGTGCATGTGCATGTGCATGTGCATGTGCATGTGCATGTGCATGTGCATGTGCATGTGCATGTGCATGTGCATGTGCATGTGCATGTGCATGTGCATGTGCATGTGCATGTGCATGTGCATGTGCATGTGCATGTGCATGCATGTGCATGTGCATGTGCATGTGCATGTGCATGTGCATGTGCATGTCATGTTCATGTTCATGTTCATGTTCATGTTCATGTTCATGTTCATGTTCATGTTCATGTTCATGTGCATGTCCATGTCCATGCACATGTCCCGCCTCGAGCTCGCGTTCGAGCCGCGAGGAGCTCGTGCAGCAAGCCGCAGCTGCGCGCACGTCGCCGAGATGGTGGTCTGGACGCTGCTCCCGTGCCACCGTGCGACAAGAGCATCCCGCCGCAGCCGCGAGAGGGTGCGAGCCTCGGCGAAAGGAGAGGCGAGCTCGCCGTGAGAGATCGAGGTCGACCAAGTCGGGGAAGGGCGAAGACGAACCACCAGACGCTCGAGCCGCCGGCCTCGAGACCAGACAGCAGTAACCCGATGCCAGCAGCTAACCCGATGCTTGTCACCCTTCTCGCCCTCAACTCTGCAGCCAGCAGCGCAGCGCTCGCGCCCAAGCCGCCGACCCGCCGCGGCGTGCTTGCTGCGGCTGGATCGGTCGCAGCGGGAGTCAAAGCTGCCAGCGCCGCCTCTGAGCCTCAGTCCAATTCGAAGCCTTGGGTGGCGGATGCAAGGATCGGTGCGGACGAGCAGTACGCGGGCAGCCTGCCCTACGATCCGTGGGCGCACTCGTCGCTCTTTGGCCTCGTGCCGCCCCCCGTGGCCGGAACTTGGTCGCACCAGGAGCTCGTCGATGCCGCGCGTGGCGGAGGGGTGGCTTCGGTGCAGATTGCGCCTCAGCACGACGTGGTCATCGCAGTCTCGACGAGCGGTCGGCGGTACGCCACGCCCATGCTCGATGACGACTTCCCCACGCTGCTGCTCGAGACGACTCGTCCAGACGGCTCCTACCCCTTCGCAGTCCTTCCGATGGACGAGTCTCGTGCGGCGCTGCGCAGCGCCGCCGGCACGGCTCTGCAGGCTACTCGCCGCTCCTCGGATCCCGCCGCTCCCTCCCCGCCCCTCCTCCCGCCCCTCCCCCCTCTCCGCCTCGCCGCTCCTCTCGCCACCCCGCAGCAGTCACGGTGCGGATCTGCAGGCGTCGCTCTTGCTGTGGCTGGCGGACTTGGCCGGACTGCTTCCCTGGGACACCACCCCGTACGCCTCCCTCGAGCAGCGAGAGAAGGCGCAGCGCGAGCGCGCAGAGGGCGCACGGCCGCCGCGCAAGTCTCTCGGGCAGCTTCTCTCCCGCCTCCTCGCCGCCCGCGGCAGCACAAAGCAGGCGAGCTGGAGGGGGGGGGAGGCAGGAGGAGGAGGCCGCGGCGCGCGATCCCTTGCACGAGCCGTGTCTGCGCCACTGGTCTGCGCCCTTGCCCGCAGGCGCGCGAGCCGATGTCGGACGAGTTGCGCCGCGCGTTTGGGATGGCGAGCGAGCTGGGGGCTCGCGCCAAGGCGCACCAGCTGCATCTCGGCTGCATCTCAGCGAGACGTCGGCTACACCTCGGAGAGATCTCCCTGCTGTCTCGCACAGGCGACTGCCGAGCGGCTCGAGCCCGCGGCGGCGGCCGAGGTGCGAGCGCAGGCCGTCGAGCTGCGCGAGCGGGCGGCCAAACTGCGCTTCCGTGCCAAGCTGGCCGCGCGCCGGCTGCAGCGAGAGTACGAGCCCGCATGGGTGAGATGACCCGAGATTGCCCGCGACCCGAGATTGCCCGAGATCGTGTGCGGCAGAGAGGCAATCTCGGGTAGTCTCAAGGCCCCGAGAGGTGCCTTTCGCGTTCCGCGAACCTTCTCGGAACTTTGCCGTAGGTAACGCCGCTCACGGCGGGCGGGGAGCTTCCCCGGCTCGAGCAGCTGCTGCGCCCCTTCCGCGTCTGGACGGACGGCGCGCGGGAGAGAGTCCGGCCCACAGATCTCCCCGCAGACCGCCAGTGAGTCTTGTCTCGAGCGTTGCTGCAGGCGAGTGGGCGCAGTACATCCAGCTCTCTCCGCTCGCGGGCACTTCAGCATGCCGCCGCTGGTTCGCTAAGGGGTCCACTCCCGCGACGCCTGCTCGGACCCGGCTCTGTAGGCAGCACGGCGCCTCTCGGCTGCCTCTCGGCTGCATCTCGGCTAGAGCTCGGAACCGGCTTGTAGGCACGGTGCGGCGCCGTTTCCGGGACGAGATGGGCGTTTGGCGGCTCAGCGCGCCCTTCTCGCGCTTCTACGGCCAGCCGGTGTACATCCTCCGCCGTTGCATCGCTTGATGGCCGAGGTTTAGCTGGACGGAGTTGGCGGCGTGCCCGAGCGCACCCATGTAGAAGTTGGGCGCGCAGCCGCCGGCGCCCCACCACCGCATGTGCATGTCGTCATTTTTCGGTGTCTAGGGCTGCATGTTGTTCACTCTTCTTTTGTTCGATTCTTTTGTGTTTGCACGCTCGTGTGGGGTGGACGTGTGTTTTGCGTGCGGTGCCTCTGTTTGTGCTATTTTGATAACCACGTGTCACGCGTGTTTCCGGGGGCACCTCTTGTTTCTTGTTTATAATTACGTTTCGCGTTTGCCGTACGAGGTTCTACGTAGTCCGTAGTGCCGCCAGCGGCAATTGGCCAGCGGGGGGTAGAGCTGTTTATAACGTTGGGACATGGGAGCTGAACAGTGTTACTAGTGTTAACAGTATCAGTAACAACAGAACAACAGTGGGGCTCCCCAACAACAGTAGCTAACGTAAGGCCAGCTGAACAACAATGAGGAAGCTCTGGAAGGCCTGGAGCAGAAACCCACGACGATCTCCAGCGTCCAGAGTGCGGGTAATACCCGAAAATACCTGGGAAACCCCGGGCATTTTGGGGGTTTGCCCGGGGCCGGGTTTTTTGACGTTTTCTGCTTGCTGACCGCTCGGCCGCAATCGGCCCTCAGTGCCGGCCGCGGGACCGGGAATGGCCGCGACGCTGACGGCCCGGAGGAGGAGAGACCTGCACTGCTCAGGACACTCGGCATGCGAGTCTGCGAGACTCACTCACACCGGAAGCATGCGGGTGGCTTGCAGCGGGCAGCACAATGCGCGCGCTGACGGAAGACGAGATCTGGCACGACCCGTGGCAAGAAGCAGCTGCTGAAGGTGCCGCGCGGCGGTGGATCGAGGAGAAGAAGCATCGGTCGTCAACTACACTACGCATAACCAGCACATCCTCCGCAATCCCTCTCTCCTCTTTCCAATGGCAGCTTCTCGCACGGCGCAAATGCCCGACAGCTTGCTCGGATGGGGACAGCGGACTGGCTGGCGTCTTGGACGTGTGAGGCAGCCCTTACGCATGTATGCCGTTATAATTTTGCTGAAAACCTCAACCTTCACATGTGGCGACGCTCCCGACTGACCCCCCATCACATTCTCGTTTGCTTGCCTTCTCGTCTCTCGGCACACATGTCGGCACTCTTATCACTTTCAGCCCGCCGCGCACCGCCGCCTCCGCCACCGCCGCGTACAGCGCGTCCGCAGCCACGCCGGCCGTCGCGTACGCCCACACCGTGTTGGCCAGCTCCTGAGGGTTGAAGCGATCCAGCCCGCCGCGCACCGCCGCCTCCGCCACCGCCGCGTACAGCGCGTCCGCAGCCACGCCGGCCGTCGCGTACGCCCACACCGTGTTGGCCAGGGCCTGCGGGTTGAACCCCGCCAGCCCGCTCCGCACCGCCTCCTCCGCCACCGCCGCGTACAGTGAACGCACCACCCCTATTTGCAGCCGGCACTTTGCCACTCCGTGGGCGACGTTCGCCAGGTTGCGTGCCTCGCACGAAGAGACGAGGTCGAGCGTGCGCTGCACCAGCTGCTCAAGCCGCTCCTCGTGCCGCCGCTCGACGCGCTGCTTGCCCAGTTTGTTCCACAGATTCGCAGCGTGGATGTGGTTCAAGCTCGTGCTGTGGGCAGCAAAGAGCGCGAGCAATGCGTCAGCGCTGCCAGCCTGGCTTATCAAAGTCGTCAGCTTCCGAGGGTCGACCTGATCACTGTCAGCGCAACGGCTAGAGAAGCGGCGATCATTGCACATTCGTGCGTCGCGTCCTTGCGCTCCGTGCACCGGCGGTCCCACCCGGCGACCGCTGTGCTGAGGCTGCCCCTCACCGTGTTCGCGCCGGTCATCGCGCCGATCGTGCCAATCGCGCTCGCGCTCGCCTCTGCCCCGATCGTCGTAGCCGCGCCGCTCGTCATGCCGCCCGCCATGATGCGGCCGTTGCTCGCCTCGCCATGGCTCGTCGCGCCATCGCTCAGCGGGCACGTGTGGCTCAGCGTGCCATCGCTCAGCGGGCACGTGTGGCTCAGCGTGCCATCGCTGCTCGCGACCACTGCACCAAGAGTCGTTGTAGCCGCGCCGCTCGTCATGCCGCCCGTCATGGTGCGGCCATTGCTCGCCGCGCAATGGCTCGTCGTGCCATCGCTCATTGGGCCGTGGCTCAGCGTGCCATCGCTGCTCGCGACCACTGCACCAAGAGTCGTTGTAGCCGCGCCGCTCGTCATGCCGCCCGTCATGGTGCGGCCATTGCTCGCCTTGCCAACGCTCGTCGCGCCGTTGCAGCTCATCCCGCCGCGGCTCATCGCGCGATCGCGACCGCTGTCGCGACTCGCCCTGCCATCGCCACTCTTCGCGTCCGTACTCGGCGCGCCGTTGCTCATCACGCCAGCGACGCTCCTCGCCCCGATGGGACATGCCTGCACACTTGGCCGTCGCACAACCAACAAGCCTTTGCTCCAACTAATTGCTGCAACTAAGACTTCATTTCAGATTACCCGGGTTTTGAGATTCGCCTCGCAGATTACCCGGCCAACGATATTTTCCTGCTTAGCGCGATTTCCGTGAAACCAGTTTACCCAGTCTCCCACAATTCGCGTTTCAGCTTACCCGGTCGCTAAAATTTATCAGGGCAGATTACTCGGTCGGCCAAATTTCTCGTCCAGATCACCCGGCGGCTAACATACTTTTCTCTTTCAGATTACCTAGCGTTGAGGAACGCGAGACAGATCGCGTTTCGCGTTTCATTTCACAAAAGGTCCCACCCTCCCTACCGCCACCAAGTCAGCACCACCGGTATCTTCGCTGACCTCAGGAACATGCTCTTCTTCCTCGCGTCGGTACTCGCATTTTCCACGACACCAGAGCCTACGCCAGAGCCCGCACCCACACCGACGCCCGAGCTGCCAATCTTCGACGAGTCGTGCGGTCAGCCGAGCTCGTGCTGCTGGGACTGCGGCACCGCAGCGGGCTGCACCCTCGGCTCCAGTGACTCAGCGGTTTGCTGGGACCAGTGCTCGAAGTGCTGCGCCGGCACCGGAGAGGCGTGCTGTGACGACATCGAGAGGGGGCTGAGCCTCGAGCGCACGTACACGGGATGCGACGGCTTTGCCCAAACCGACGCCGGCTCCTGTTCGGACAAGCTGTACCCTTTTGAGATCATGTCCAACCTCTTCCCCGTCAAGCCGCTTCAGACTGTCCGCGTCTTCAATCAGGACGACAACCTTCTGCGTAGACGCGTAACGAACCGTATTTTTCCGCCGCCCCGCGTGCAATTTGCTTTAGTTTCGCCGGACGCCTTGTGCGTGGAGGACGGGCGCGGTGGCCCCACCCGCGCCCGGCCATGCGGCCTGGCCCCTCCTTTTTCTTATGAACAACGAAAGTCCAGAGGCTCAATTTTTACTCTGAACCCGCGCAATGTCAGTCCAGCTGGTCCCCCCAAGCGTAGTAGAATGAGTCGCGTGCGAGCGTCGCAAGCAGGCTCAGCAGGACGACCTGGATGCCGAAGCGCGCGCAGTGGAAGGAGAGGCCGAGCGCAGCGCCGGCGTCCTGGCCGCTCATCACGGCGCCATGCGTGAACATATAGATGTTGGCTGGAGTTACCGCGACGGTCAGCAGGAAGAGGCCGCCAGCGGACGCGGCCGTCAACAGCCCCCCGACCGGCAGGCCAAGCGCCCCCTCCGCCTCGACGCCGAGCCCGCTGAGCAGGCCGCCGAGCGCCAGCCCGCCGCCGCCGAGACACTCTGCGACACCCGTCCACGCCACGTGAAACTCTGCAGAGCCGGGCAGGTACCAGAGGCCCCAGGTGCCCACGGGCGGGTAGATGGCGCGGAACGCCTCCGCGTCGGCAAAGTGGCCGACGGCGGCGGCGAGATAGAGGAGGCCGAGCAGCGGCAGAGCGCAGCAGCGGCTGGTGGCGGAGGGGCGGCGGTTGCGGCGGCGGCAGTGCGAGCGGCATCGGCATCGGCATCGAGCCTCGCGACGAACCGGCGAGCCGCGCCGAGGTTGCCGCACCTGAACTCGAGCTTGTCTTCCTTCTCGCAACGCACGCCGATGATCGCGACGCAGCGGAAGGGGGTCTCCTGCAGCGCCTCTACCCATGTGGCGGTGATCGAGGCGAGGGAGTGGCGCACCTGCCAAACCACGGACAGAGGTTGTGAGGGCACGTGGACACGACTGTGCACTGTGGCTGTAGTCGGTTAATCGCTCACCTGTGAGCCGTCCGCGTTGAGCTCGAGCGCGCCATCGACGAGGGTGAGCGTGCCGCTGGCGGGCCGCTCTAGCTGCAGCGGCTCTGGCGGTGGGGCTGGCGCGGCCTCCGGCTCGTTGTCCTCCTCCTCCTCACTGCTGCTGCTCTCTGCGTCGACGACCGCCGCGCCGCCCTGCTGCTGCTGCTCGCCGCCGCCGCCGCCCCCACCTGCACCGGCTGCGGCTTCTGGTCGGGCGGCTGGCTCCACGTCGTCGATGTCGCCGTCGTCATCGTCGCCGTCGTCGCCGCCGCTGACGCCGACGCCATCGAGTATCTCCATCAGCGCGACCTGGAAGCTTTGCGCCGCGAGGTCGAGCTTGCCGTCGCCGGCGGCGAGCCCGTCGGCCGCCTCACGCAGCGCAGCGCGCAGCCTCGCGAGCTCAAGCCGCTTCTCTGCGAGCGCCACGCGCGCCGCCCCAAGCTCCTGCCGGTCCTCAATGCACTGTGGATCTTTGCAGCCGTCCACCCGTTGGCCGGGCCGCCGCCTCTCGCCCGAACCGCGATCCCTGAGCTGCTCGTTTGACGAATAGAAGTCGGTCTGGTTCCGCTTGCGCTCGACCAGCGCGTCGACCCCGTCCAGCAAGTGTTTGATAGAAGAGGACTCGCTATCGCCAAAGAGATCATAGCGCATTGCAGCAGCAGCACGCGCTTGCGCTGCCTCGCTGTCCTTCATGCTCGAAGACGGCTCGCCAGCGCTGCTGCTGGCCGACGCGCCCATCCCAGCAGCAGCCAGGATGCGGTGGGCTGCAGCTCGGGCATCTTCTGGTGGAGTAGCACCGCGGTGGATCCGGCCGCGCACCTGCTCGGCTTTGGGTCGGCCGATGCCGACGGTGATCCTCTCGCCCTTGGTCTCCTGGCATGCGACGCCATCGATGACGAATTGCTCGAAGACCTTCTTGGCTATCGGCATGGCTGCCGAGCTAACTCACTCACAACCTCGCCGCGGAGATCTACCATGTCGCCGCTCATGAAACCAGGATAGCTGAGATGGGCGCCTGGCGCCGAGCATTTTGCACCCGGTTTCATGAGCGGCGACATGGTAGTTGGTAGTATCGAACAAAGAAATACGCGCATAACGGTGGATTTCACCCGGTTGAGGCAGACTCCCTAGGGTGGGCGACGGATAGCGCACCACACACCTCTCCTTAAAATCCCTGTGTGGTGGCGGCGTGCCGTCCTCCCATCCCTCCCTTGGGTTGTCTGTTTTCTTTCTTTCTTTCTTACCCGGTTGCTGCACCTATTGGGAGCGCGACTGTGCGCCTCTTGAAAAGAAGCGCTCGGACACACTTGCACGAAACGCATGCGCCTGGTGTTTTCGTGATCTCCCTGACCGAGCGTTTTTTTCTCTGGGACTGGGTGAGTGGCGGGGCGCGAGCGAGCGGGCGTTTCGAATAACCGCACCCCACTGAGACGTGAGAGCTGAGAGTAGAGTGTGTAGAGGGGGCCCACTCACCCTCAGATCAAAAAGGCTCGGCCCGAGGGTTAGCCCCCCCTTCCCCCACCTTGTGTGTGGGGACATAACTTAAGCTTACCTTACCTTACACAGAACGCCACATGCCTACCCTCGCCACCCCCTGGCCCTGCCCCTAATACTCGCAATTGCTGATGGCGGGCCGGGGGGGTTGCTGGGGGCACAACACGCAGTAGCCAGTACGCAAGACGCACGTAAATGTATTGGGTTGAGGGCGGCATTGGAGGCGATGGCGGACGGGCATGGGCCTCCCGGGAGCAGAGGTCAAAAAGTTAATAAAGAGCGACACACCACATGCACAGCCTCGTCCTCCCCGCCGCCTTTGCGGAACTCACGTTGGCCTCCAGCCCCCGTACTGCCAAATCGGCGCAGGTGAGCGGTGGCGGTGACGGCGGCGGGGAGACTCTGCGTGCTGCGGGTAGGTGCGGCTTGTGTGAGCGACACTCGAGAGATCGAGCCAGCCGGCCTCGCGATGCGGGAGACGAAACCGCCGGTGGAGTAGAAGCGTGCAAAGCCGAGGTGGGAGTCGGCGGAGGAGCCCGGGTCGATGGCGAGATAGAAAGGCTCGGAGGACGCGGGCGGAGCGACAGGGGTGGGGAGGGGGGGAGCAGACGGCGCGGCGGAGTCGGTCGGCGCAGCGGAGGCGGTCGGCGCAGCGGAGACGGCGGGTGCCAAGGCAGCGCCGAGATGGATGCGGCGCACAGCCTCGGCGACGCGATCCCGCGTCCAAAAGGCGAGAAGCGCGGCGTACGCATCCGGGGAGAGCTCGCGCTTCAAGGCAGCGTCCGCATTGGCCCGAAACTCCCAGTCGCCCTTCTCCGCGAACATGCACTGCACGGCCGCCAGGCCGGAGTCAAGCTTGGCCACGTCGCAATCGCAAGCGTGCGCGGCACGCGAAGGACTTGGCGAACACAGCGGTGGGCCGGGACTTGTCTATCCACCAGCCGCGGTCCATCTCCTCCGGGTTCATGGTCCGAGGCGCTGCCGGTGCTGTCGGCAGCGCCGCCTCGATTACCTCTGCAGGGGCTGCCGGGAGAGGCGGCACAGAGGGCGTGGTGGCTGGGGCCTCCGTGGGAGCCGAGCTGCCGCTTGCGCGCCGCGCGCAGCGCACGCGCTTGTCGGTCTTCCGGGTCAATCGGCGCTTATAAGGCACCGAGGAGCGTTCGTTCCCTTTCCTGAGCACACGGCGCAGCGCAGTGGTCAGAAATCGCTTGATGCTCCATCAGCAGTGCATGAGGGTGGAGCATCGCGCGCCGGAGAGCCGAGGCGCTCTATTGCACGGCCGTAGGAGGGAGCAAACTGCCCCAAATATCCGCCATTTTGCATGAAACCCTCTCGGCTGTCGCAGAAAAATATTAAATTGCGGGGTCAACGCCGGGATCAGCATCCGGGTGCTCGCGTGCACCCCAAGCGTAGGAGACCACGACAAATGGCGGGAAGCGCATGAACTGTGGATGAAAGGCGTCAACGTTCTCCAACCACTCATCCCACGCGTCCAGCTCGGCGAAGGAGCGCTCGAGCATCTCCGAGTCGACTAACGCCTCAGGCGGCAGGCCCGGGCGGCGGGAGAAGCTGCCGCCTTTCGAGGCTGCCCCCAGCACCCTGCGTACCCCCTACGAGGCTTGTGTGTTGACTGTTGAGAACACCATTGTGAGCACCTCTGCGCAACTCTGTTTCTAGGGTATTTCGTGAAATACCAATTTGTGGTCGGCGCAGAGCCTCTCCCAGAGCAGCAGAAGATATCTCACGTGTAGCGTGTACGCCATGAACCTGATCCAGAGATCCAATGTCTTTCGCGAAACTCTGGCGAGCGAGCGCTTCAGCAGGACGGCGCAAGCGTGCACCGGAGGCACACACATTCACGCTGAGTCAGGAATGTTGTTGTGAGAGACGCTCCCGGCGGAGCGACTCAAATTCATTCGTCTTGTTTTGGGTCTACTGCGCGCAGCTCCTGTACTCTGTGTGCGAGCGGGGCTTGCAGCAGCCTTGGATGCCCCGCGCGAGCATATTCTGGACGTGTTGCGACTCGAGGGCCTTCCGCGAAAGCCACAGCTCGTCGCCAAACGTGCCGTGGTTGCACTGCCAAACATAGCCGTGCGCTTGGAGCATCTGCACGAGGTCCGGCTTGGGCCGCTCAACGGTGAGCACGGAGATGGTGTACGAGTCCCATGGAAATGAGGACATCACGAGGCTCTCCGCCCCCTGCGATTTCGGTCGTGGTGTGAGCACGGCGACTGAGGTGTGTGGCGTAGCGCGCGTGAGGGGGTCGGAGCATGGATGGGGGTCCGGACGGACGCACGCCTCAACATCGAGAGACAAGTAGTCGATGGTCTTTGGTGCCTTAAATTCTTCAAGAATCCGCGAGAATGGGATCGTTCTCATCTCGCTCGTGTTCGTTGCCTGCTTATTATCCATGCCGGCACCGACGATCCCACCGAGAGCTTTGCGGGATGCGACGAACTGCACAGTGTCCTCGGTGCTCGCGATGGCCACTCCGACGACGGTGCAGTTCCTCCGAGAGAGGAGGTCGGCGTGGTACATGGGGTTGGCCTCGATACAGAGGCCTTCCCATCCATAGTCGCGCTCAAGCGCACGTGTGTTGGAAAGACTGAGCCACGCGTTCGCGGCCAGGTCGATGAAGAATCGCCGGCGCCTCGCTGTCGCTCTTGACGGCATGAGAGTATTCACAGTCCGGTCTTGCCCCCTCTGGCCATGCCACTTGCCCGGCTGGTCGCCCTTGACGGCAGTCGGGTTCGGAACAGCTTGGTAGATGGGGCGCAGCCGGAAGCGCGCCCCATCTGGGGGATTGGGGGCGGGGTCCACGCCCTCCACATGACTCGTGGCGGAGGCCGTGTGCATCAGCAGCAGCGCGAGAGGTCCCATCTCACGCGTTCGGGCTCGGCCTCGTCGCGCAAAGTCGCGGGTTGTACACCTGCGCGGGTATATGCATGGTGAGACCTAGTGGGCCCATGAGCTGGGAAAAGATGCGGCAGAGGAAGAGGGCGTGAAAGGAGAGGGCGAGGGCGGCGAGGGGAGAGGAGGTGCTGGGGAAGAGGGAGGGGGTGCATGAGGGGTGTGTGGAAGGGAGCCAGCTTACCCGGACACGGACGGACGGCTGCCTAGCTAGGCGAAGCTTAGGCGTGCACCTCGTCCAGACAGAGAGCGAGCACCTGCGGCACGTGTCCTAAGGAGAGCTCCCACTCGGAATCCCCGGCCTCGTTTGCTTGAATGACGCAGTCGTGAATCCGTACAACTCTTTCAGATTACCCGGCGCATCCCATTACCGGGTGATCTGGAAAAAGAATTCAACGAAAAGAACTCTCTCTCACAGCACACAGGTTCGACACAGGTACGCCACAATAGAAATTTCGGGAGCCGGGTAACCTGGAAACGACATTTCGCCGTGTTGGGTGATCTGCGAGGCAAAAAGTCGCAGACGCCGGGTGATCGGGATCGGGTTGCGGGCAAGAGAGCCCTAGCCCTGGGGGTGCGCGTTCGCAGGGCAAGGGCCGTAAAAGTAAACACGGGTCTCCGAGGGTTGGCCCCGCGTACCGGGTTTCCCCTTAACTGCAGGACGCCCCCTCTACTCGGAGCTAATGAACACCACACTGCACGCCCCACACCACCACTCCGCACTCACTCGCACAGGCCACTTGAGTAGACCCCCCCGCCTGAGGGCTCACCCCCCGTCTTCCCAGGGTCCCGATCCTCCTTGATTCGCTCTCTTGCTCGTCTCCCGAGCGTCATGCGACGGCTGGTGTGGCCGTTTCCCTCGTTGTTGGTGCCGCTTCCTCCGCTGCCGCCCTTCGTCCTCGCCAGCTTCTTCCGGCTCCACCGACTCCGAGGGCATCGACGGCCCGGCCGGGGTCTCCCCGGGCGAGGGCGGCGGCATCGTGTCTCGTCGCCACCCCTCCCCGGGAGGTCGGGCCGGATCTCCCTGGTCGGCGAGCCCCGCGCCCGCATCCGCCGCCTCTCTGAAATTTATCCTTTATTCTATGAGTAAATTTCATTCCGGTTTGTGTGTGCAAAGTCAGGGCTTGAGCACTTGAGCACTGGATAGGGTCGATTCCGCTTGGTACGGGACCCCTTAAGGTAAGGTAAGGTAAGGTAAACTTCTCCACACACACGAGTCACGAGAGTTGGTGGGGCAAGGGGGGGCGGCCCTCGCGTCTCCACGTCTAGACGACAGGAGCCCCACGGCATTAAAAGTGCAAGGCCCAGTGCGCGTGCGGGTGAGCGGTGTGTGTGTGTGTGTGTGTGTGTGTGTGTGTGTGTGTGTGTGTGTGTGTGTGTGTGTGTGTGTGTGTGTGTGTGTGTGTGTGTGTGTGTGTGTGTGTGTGTGTGTGTGTGTGTGTGTGTGTGTGTGTGCGTGTGTGTTGTGTGAGGGGGGGGGGGGTCACGTCACTGCATCCTCTGCCGGTTCCTTGTAAAGTAGAGGACGCCTCCGCCCCTCGCCCTCGCTCCTCGCATCGACCGCTGCGCGCTGGCGCTGCCACAGACACACCGGTCACCGCCGCCACCACCGCAACCGCCACCTCTCCGTTTCACCACCACCTCGCATCTAGGTGGACTAGGCCGCACAAGCTCACGCTCTTCTCTCTCTTTCTTTCGATCTTTGTTCTCGCTCGTTCGCACCCCTCTCTAAATTGGGCTTCTTTAGACCCTACATTGCTACGCCCACCGCCTCGAGCGCCTGCCGCGCGAGCGACGCTGTCGCCGCGTCGTGCGGGCTGAGCCGCAACGCCTCGAGCGCCTCTTTGCGCGCGCGCTCCGGGTCCGCCTTGTGGCGCGTGAGGGCGGCGGTGGCCAGGCACCGCGCTCGCGTCCGGGCCGCCTCGGCGCCTCCCAGGCCTGCGAGCCGGCGGACGCAGCGGTCGGCGATGAGCGCGCCGCCCTTGGCCTGCCCCTCGTTCATCAGCGCGATCGCGAGAGGGACGTACCCAGACATGTCCTGCGACCTCGAGCCGTCGATGAGGTCGGGCGAGGACGCGGTCTCCTCCGCGAGGGAGAGGGCGCGGTGCAGGACAGGGACCGCCTCGGCGCCGCGTCCTGCCCACGACAGCTACAGGGCAGGAGAGGGACAGGGGGTGAGGGAGGGAGAAGGCTCGAGGGGCGAGGTGGGCAGAAGCAAGCGGTGCGAGGTCTTAGGCCGGAGAGGTCCGGTGGCTCGAGGGCCCTCTGTGGCGGCCCGCCTGCATCCCAAGCTCCGAGAGCGCCGACGTTGTCGCTCCGCCGCCGAGCCACGAGCCCGCCCGCGCGTCCTGCTGGCCAGGGGCACAGATTACCCGAGATTACCCGAGATTACCCGAGCCCGCCCGCGCGTCCTGCTGGCCACAGCCACACTCATGGGCTCACGACTGACTGGCCGCTCGCCCACCTCTGCACCACGGACCACGCTACTAGTCTACTGCCACTGCTGCTGCTGCTGCTGCTGCTGCTGCTGCTGCTGCTGCTACTGCCTCTCCTGCACCGCAACCGCGTTGGCCCAAAGCGCGACTCCGTCCGTCCACACGTCCGCGTACCACCAGCAGACCGCCGCCAGCCCGGCGCACACGCACCCAAGCAGCGCGGGGCGGCAGAGGCGGGTGGCGGGCAGAGGGCGGGCCAGCAGGGCGAGGGCAGCGAGCATGCAGCCTCCGAGGGAAGGGAGGTAGAGCACCCGCTCGGCCTTGCAGGTGCCGACCGGGAAGAGGAGGTTGGAGGCGAGGAGGAAGGGGAGCGCCGCGGTGAGGGCGGAGAGGAGGCACCGCCGACTCGTGCGCCGCAGCGTGGCGGCGGCGAGGGCGGCGGCCGTGGCGGCGGCGGCGGCAGCGAGCACGGCGAGCCGCGGATCGGCGAGGGACGTGATTGGGGGGAGGGCGGGGGCGGACCAGTCGCAGCAGAGCTCCGAGGGGAAGAGGAGGAGGGAGGCGTACTCGAGCCACACCCAAGCGACTGACAGCGGCCGCCAGAGCGGGTGCGGGTAGAAGCCCGGCCAGTTCTGCTTTGTGCTGATGGCGGGCGGCTGGCCCTCGTTCAGGCGGAGCCTCCACACGGCGATGCTCGCGTTGCCGGCCGCGAGGGCGGAGAGTCGAGCCGCCTACACACTTGTCAGAGCCGCTCCACTTACAATGATTGACAGTCAGGAGCAGGGCGAGGGCGGAGAGGCGAGAGCCGCCGAGGGGAGGAGCGGGCGGGCCGGAGGGAAGGGCCACTCGAGCCGCGCCATGCGGTGCGTACTCACGCGGGCCACCACGAGCAGCTCCCAGGCGGCGCACCTGCGAGGCTCCGAGAAGGCTCTTAGAAGGTTCCTTTGCCACCCCGCAGCTCCCGTGTTTGGCGCACAGCAGCGGCAGCGTCACGCCCGTCTCCTTGCAGAGGGTCGCGCAGAGAGTGCCCAGGAGGGCGGAGGCGAGGCCAACGGCAGAGCGAGCAGCAGCCTGCGATGCGGTCTCCTGCGGCGTGCCGACTGCATGCGCGTAACCGAGGAAGCCGGCGAGGTAGAAGGCCGCCATCATCAGCTCGCCGCGGCTCACCACGTTTTGCACCGCCTCGACGTGCACTGGGTGCAGCGCGAAGAGGAGCGCCGCGGCCGCGCCCGCACGCCTGCCGCCGCGTCGCCAGCCAAAGGCAGCATTGACGAAGGCCGGCACCATTCCTGTCACGAAGGCGTGCAGCCCAGCGTTGAAGAGGTGGAAGCCGAACGTCGAGTCCCCGTCGCTTTCCCACTGGAGCACGCGGCTCAGCCGAAAGGAGAGCGTCACCAGCGGGCGAAAGGATTTGTGCGAGCGAGGCGAGGACATCTCCTCGCCCCAGAAGTCGAGAGCCATCGCTGCGTGCAGCGGCACGTGTCCATTCACGACTGGGTTGCGCTGAATAGCGGCCGCGTCGTCGTAGAGGAAGGGGCCGTGGAGCCGGCGCGGAGTCGCGAAGCAGAGGAAGGCGATGGCGGCCGCAAAGGCGGTGGCTTTCATGGAGAGGACAGATGAGAAATGACTGTCTGGAAGCCCCAGCCGGTGAACCTCGAGGCGGCAATACAGTCGTCGAAGGTGATGACAGCGGTGCGGAACAAAGAATTTTGGAAAAAGAATTTTTGCGTGGACTGAGGACAAAAAGCACCCGTGATTGCCTGCACGCTACCCGCACTCACGGACTCCATACCCGAAAGAAAGAGAAGGGAGCTCGCGGGAGAGGTGACGAGTGAACTACAGGTAGTGGGGAAGGCAGCCTCGATTGCCATACAGACATGGGTGCGAAACAACGACAAGACCAAGGCACGGGCAGAGGAACGAGAGAAGAATATAGGGTGGATAAAGCGCCTGTTCACGGCATGGAGGGTGAGCCACACCGAACGTACCGAGCGAAGGGCCGAGCGGAAGGAGGACGGGGAAGATGACTCAGAGGAGGACGAACCAGTGGAAATTCAGTTGTCAGATGTCACGATGCATCCGAAGGGGACCCCAGCGCCGGCATCATCCGTAGAGGCACGAGTGTTCGAAGAGAGAGTGGACCTGAGCAACAACATGACGTGTAGGCAAATGATCGGAGTGGGAGTCAGAAATGTGGTCCTTGCGCGAGGGGAGCTTGATAGACTCGAGGGGCCAGGATACGCCGCGAGGAGGACGGAGTTGCGCAAGGCGAAAGAAGCCGCGAGAACAAGGGACCGGCAGGCGGCGGCGTCGCAGGACGAGGCAGAAGAGAACGACGCGACAGAGGAGGAAGTGACAAGGGAGAGACCGACGAGAGTGGGACGGCCGCGAGGTGGCATGAAGGTTGCAGCGAGAAGCGGCGAGAGACTGCGAAAAGAGATACGAAGAGGCAGACTCCCCAGGGTGGGCGACGGCTAGCGCATCACACTCCTCTCCTTAAAATCCCTGTGTGGTGGCGGCGTGCCGTTCTCCCATCCCTCCCTTGGGTTGTGTGTTTTCTTTCTTTCTTTCCCAGGGTGGGCGACGGCTAGCGCATCACACTCTCCTCTCCTTAAAATCCCTGTGTGGTGGCGGCGTGCCGTTCTCCCATCCCTCCCTTGGGGTGTGTGTTTTCTTTCTTTCTTTTAGGACTCTGGCACTAAGGTACCGCGATACGCTGCTTCTGCAGCCCTAGCCAATTCTAGGTGGTCATGGTCACCTCGTCGAGGTACTGCTACTGACTGGGCCCGCGTCAGCTTGTTCTGCAGCTCGTTCGACGCCTTCCAGAGGATCTCGCGGACCCCCTTCCCGAACCCACCGAAGGTCCTTGTCCTCCCTGGCGTAGCGAACAAAAATAATTTTACAAATTTGGTTTCGGCAACACCCTTGACCAAACCTTGCTCAAGGTTCTTGGGTGCACTTGGAGCACTTGGAGAGCGAGGAAAGCACTTGGAGCACTTGGAGTGCAGTCGGTAACCTCACATCCAGGGCCGGGGAGCTATTAAGTAGAAACGGACCCAGCGGGCCACAGATCCGGCAGATGTCAGATGATCGGTATCGGGTTACGGGCTAGAGAGCCCTAGCCGCTGGGGGGGTGCGCGTTCCCCCGTTCGCAGGGAAAGGGCCGTAACAGCCCCTTGGAGTGTGAAGGCTTCGTAGCCCTCCGGACTACTATCTATGAAGATCCGCAGGACTGGAGCGAAAAAAAGCAAGCGAGTGGGGCCGTAAAGTATTCGACAAAGAACACGGTTCTCCGCGAGGGTGTTCTATAACGTTATAGTCTCAGCGCTCTCTGGGTTCGTCCCCTAGCTCGGGGCGGAGCGCCCCCTCTACTCGGAGCTAATATGTAAAAAGCATTATTATTTATTATAACGAGTAACGACGGGCGAAGCCGAAACATGTTTTTCGTTCTACCTCAAGTAAGCCGGCTGGGCTTGCGCCGCGGCGTCTGCGGCGAGCGCCACCTCCCAGCTGTGCGCGATGGAGCGCATCGAGCTGAGCGTGCCCAGCACGACGAGGGTCGGCGTGAGCAGGTAGAGCAGGAAGTGGCACGCCGCCGCGTCGAACCAGGAGAGCGCCAAGCCGTGCGCGCGGCAGGCGCGGAGGTAGAAGAGCGCGGGGAAGCCAAACATCATCGGCGCGCCGGCGAGCGATCCGAGCAGGGACTGGAGGTCGGAGAAGAACGGGACCGCTGTCGCGAGGACGATGCTGAGGAGCAGCACGCCGCTCGAGACACAGAGCCAGCAGAGGGCGGCGCGGGCCCCGCCCCCGGGCTCGGCGAGCAGCGAGGCGTGGATGGAGCGGTGCAGCGGCTGCGCGGCGACCATGTAGGCGACGGCAGTGTGTAGGGCGAGCAGCAGGCCGACCTGACCTCGGCATCGGGTCGACTCAGGCTCGGCGGTGTCCCGGGAGCGGAGGAGAGAGCAGCGAGGCCGACCAGGCGCTTGGCGTGCCCCGGTGGCATCGACTCGGGCAGGAAGCCGGCCACCTCGCTGCCGAACGCCCCGTAGGCGAGCACGCAAGTGCACGTGTAGACGAGGCCCATGACGCCGTACGCAGCACGCGCCGCGGCGGGGAAAGAGCGCGGCTCGCGCATCTCGCGCATGATCTCGAGGAGCACCGAGTGGCACTGGTACGCGAACACGAACGCGGAGACCGCGCCGAACGAGTCGAGGGAGGCGGCGCCCGAGGGGAGCCACACGCTGTGCCTCCGCCCGCCTGCTCGCAGCGAGATGAATCAATTAACTAGTTAATTAGCTAATAATCAGCCACACGCTGTGCTCTCGGCTCCTCTCGGCTCCTCTCGGCTCCTCTCGGCTCATCACGGCGCCGGCGGAGGGGGGCGAGGCGGGGGCGGCGTCGTCGCGGGCTTGGAGGAGGAGGGCGGCCATGATGGCGGATATGGCGGCGACGATGGCGACGGAGGAGGCGAAAGAGAGCCATGCAACCTACGGGGGCTCCTGGAAGGCTCCTCGAAGGTTCCTGGAAAGCTCCAGCGAAGGAGAGTCCTACGACCTGGCGCAGCCCACCCGAATGAGATGCGCCGAGATGCGCCGAGATGTGCCCGAGATGTGCCCGAGAGTGCTCGATGCGACGGAGGGCGATGTGACCTGGTGCAGTGTGCGCAGCTGGAGAGGAGGCAGCAGAAGCAGAGCCACGAGGAGCAGCCTAGAGGAGTGCCCGAGAAGGCTGGTGCGAGCCGGGTCCACGACGGTTCCGAGAAGGTTCCGAGGCGCGGCCAGGTGGGCGTGTCGAGAAGCGCCCACGGGGCGAAGGTGCGCGCCGACTCGGCGCACGCGAGCAGGAAGAAGGGGAGGATCGACTGCCTGCCGCCGTCCGACTCGGAGGGGTGAGACAGTGCTCCCTTCTAGCGGAAGGACAGGGGGTGGAGGGGCTTGCCAAGTGAGCAGCACCGAAGCTCGCGTGAGGCGGGCGGCGGCTGGCCCAAAGGCGGCGAGGGCGACGTCAGCGTAGCTCTCGGCCTGGTCAGAGGCGCGGAGATCAGCCGAGATCTGCCGAGATCAGCCGAGATCGGCCTGGTCAGAGGCGCGGAGATCAGCCGAGATCAGCCGAGATCAGCTGAGATCAGCCGAGGTGAGCCGAGATCAGCCGAGATCAGCGTCAGCGAGGTCAGCCGAGATCAGCGTCAGCGAGGTGAGCCGAGGTGAGCCGAGTCCGCCTGTGCGAAGGCGTCGTTCTTCACCCGCCCGAGCAGCAGCGACGAGTAAGTCGAGACGAGTCCAAAAGCGACGCACGCAGTGAGACCCTGCAGAGTACCGTGCCGTGGACATGTCGTGGGCGTGTCGTGGGCGTGAGTGGGCGTGGACGTGCTACCGACTGGCCATCTCGGAGGCGGCGTCGTGGTGGGCCTCTGGTTGAAGCCGGGCAAGCGTGGCGGGCGAGGAGAGCGGAGGTGTCTAGGAGTAGTGCCGCCCACCCACACCCACCCGATCTGGGCGGTGGCGTGCGGGATGCCGAGCACGCCCATTCCCATCGCCTCGGCCATGATGAGGAACGACGAGTGGTACCAGAGCGACTCTCGCGCCACGGCAGGCTTGGCGCTGCTGCCATGCACAAGCGGCAGATGCTCTCCCGGCGGCGACGCATCACGATTCGGTGTGCGGCGCATGGTGGTGGTGCAATAATGCACGTGCTTTCCTTGGCGCCTCGCGAGGCTCGGTGCAATAGTGGCGGTGCGCGATTTGCACGGTGCGCCTTTACGTGCTCCGACGCGAGATAGGCACGCAGCGGGAGCGAGCTGGTCAGCGCCGCGCGCTGAGTTTCTTCTTTCTCGAGGTTCCCTTCCTTTGGCCGCGTTGGGTAGCGAGGATTGGTGTGACGCGATCCACGCAGGCGTGTTTTCTGGCGGCCGACCGTCAGTGCACGGAGTTGCCCCTTCTCCGACTGCCCCGGCTAGTTCACACGAGCTTCGCGAGTTTCTTGTTTGCCCGCTGGTGTCGCAGTGTTCCCTCCCTTTTGTATATCTACTACACAACTCGCTTCCTTCCGCCCGCCTACTTCACACGACTCCAATGTAACAACAATACTCGCTCTGTCTTTCTCTCAAGAATATCTCTCTCTGTCTGACGAGGATTATGATTAATGTTTCCGAGGTCAGATCGAGAGTGGCCATTCCATGTCGGCATCTGACGCGCTGTCCAGCGGCCCTTCCCCTGGGTCGAGGGGTCGCGCGGGGTTGTACTCCGTCCCCTCGAGCTGCGGCAGGTCGTTGACGACAGCGACGGGGCTGAGAGAGCGCGCGATCTCGGCGAAGAAGGTGTCGGCGGCGGGATGGGTGGCGGCGGCGGCGGAGACAGAGGCGGCGGCGGAGACAGAGGCGGCGGCGGAGACAGAGGCGGCGGCGCTCGTCGGCGCCAGGTGCCGCTGCTCGGCGTGTCGATGCTTCGGCTCCGCCTCGAGCTGCTGCCCCGGCCTCTTGCGGCCTTGCGTTAGCGCCTTGCGAGTTGCGCGTCTCGCGACGGGCCTGCGTGGAGATGGCGGAGATGCGACGCGCGGTTCGGGCCCCGGGTGCTCTGGGCCCGGCAGCGTAAGTGGCAGCGTGGAGGTCGGCGCCGGCATGACGCTACTCACTGCTGCTGCCGCCGATGCTCCGCCTGGGGGCGGCGTCGCTAGAGCTGCCTCCGCCTGACTCCTTAAAGCGCCTGGCTCCATAAAGCGTGTCCACTGCCACGCACGCGCGGGGTTTGCGAGCAGCTCCTCCGGGGACATCACCGCGAGAACTGGCAGTTCGATGGCCTGACGATATATGATGAGGAGATAGCGCTCCCACTCCCAGCGCTGCTGAACGTGAAGGGATCGAATGTCAGCTATGGCTCGCTCGATGAGATCGAGATCCTCAAGCATCTCCTCCCACTCCTTCGCAGCCTCTGCTGCGGCGGCGGCTGCCTGCTGCTCCGCTTGTGCTGCGGCGGCAGCGGCCGTTTGCGCTGCGGCGGCAGCGGCCTTTTGCTCCGCTTTGAAGGTCGCGTATTCTCGGCGGAGGTCGGACAGGGTCGACATGGTTTATGGACGGAAAACGGGGCTCAAATCACCACTCACCTGCTCTGCGTGGGGCCATCAAGAACGGGAGTGGGATGCGAAAAGAAATCACCCAGTGAACGAGGCGGCGTGCGTGCTGTGCCTCTGTGTTCGTGCGTCGCCCATCTCTCCTGGAGATGCCTGCTCTTTTGTTTATTGATTATGGTTATGCTGGTTAGCGAAGAAGAATTCACGCGGGCACTACATGTACGGCAGCGGTAACACTACGGGCACTGCATGCAGGACATGCTTTTGCCACCCCTGGCCCTATGCAAAGAAAAACAGGCGACCAGCGGTGGCGGTAGCGGTGCTTCCGCTAGATCAGCCCGCCAAAGTCGCGGTCCTCCTGCGAGCGCTGCCACCACTTCCAGCAGTTGAAGCCCGTCGCCGCCACCACCATCAGCGGCGCGAGCACCTGCACCGCCAGCGAACCACAAGACTCATCCATCTTGACTGCAGCTCTAACGATCTGTTCTTCCTCTCAGGCGGCGCGCCTGCACCGCCAGCGAGTCGCCTTCCGCCACCACGGGCAGCAGCGTCTCTCCGTACTTGATCACGTACGAGCTCGCCTGTTGTGATACTATGGCGGTCATTCCGAGTGTATGTCGACCTGTCACGACTATAGACCACGAGCTCGCCACAGACACGGCGAGGACGAGGAGCAGACCGCTCAAATCGCCGCCCGAGCCGTCCACGCCGGCAGAGGCGGCGGCAGAGGCGGCGGCGGCGGCCGGTGTGTCCGCTGCCGCCGCCCTCGCCACTGCGGCGGCGGCGGCGCCCTCTTGCTCCTCGGCCGCCTCGCCGCCGCCCGGATCGCCGAGCGACGGCAGCGAGAAGGCGTAGCCGTTGGAGGCGGCGAGGCGCCACGCGGCGAAGGCGAGGGTGCAGTTGCCGAGCAGAGTGAGCGCCGCCTGGCGAGGAGGAGCTGCGGCGGTGAAGGGGCGAGGTGAAGGGCTGCAGGGGACGGCGTCTCTTTATATACCTCGGCTGTGAAGGCGGCGGTGAAGGGGCGAGGCGCAATCTCCCCCCCCCCCCCCCCCTCCCTCGCCGCCTGTTCGAGGACGATGCGCTGCAGGCTCTCGGCTCATCTCATCTCGGCTCATCTCGGCTCATCTCGGCTCATCTCGGCTCCTCTCGGCTCATCTCGGCTCATCTCGCCTGCGCGAGGACGATGAACTGCAGGCTCTCTGCGTTGTAGAAGAAGTGGTACACGCAGGCGCAGACGCCAGACGAGTGGCTCGGGATCATGCCTGTTCGCTTCTCACTCACGGCTCAGCAACAGACTCCAGTGCACGGAAGCGCGGGCTCGGGGTCATGCCTGTTCATCGAAGCTTCGCCCGAGGTTGGCCAGAGATGTGCCGAGGCTGGCAGACTCGAGGTGAGGGGAGGGATGCCCCAAGTGAGCCCCCTCCACTTTGGGTTGCCCGAGGCGGTGCCGAGCCGCCAGACGAGCCTGGAGGAGCTCAGCCGAGATCAGCCCGAGCTTCGCCGAGGGGAGAGGCATCTCCTCTCTGCTGGTCCCTGCTACTGTCCGCACAGTAGTCTCTGCAAGTCTGTCGTCTCCTCGCCCCAGATCTCCCCAGATCTCCCCAGATCTCCCCTAGCTCTCGCCCCATGGCGACGAGCCACTCGAGCAGCGAAGAGACGTGGATCGTCCAAGTCGGCACCTGCAGGGAGGCGCCAGGGGGGAGAGGGGGGGGAGGGTTCAGAGAAGCTTCCTCGACTGCTCCCCCGAGGAGAGGCACACGCGCGGCACCGACAGAGCGTTGGCTGGCTCCGCAAAGCCGACCGTCCACAGCCCGCCGGGCAGGTTGCCTGAGGGCGGCATATGCAGCGGTGAGCAGGCGCGGCTGCGGCGGCACGGGCGCAAGTCCGCGCGCTGCTGCTCCTGCCCCTCCCAGGTACTGGGTGTGCCCCTCCAGCACGCCGCCCGCCGCAGCCCACGTCGCCAGACAGGTTGCCGCCGCCGCGCATCCGATGAGCTTGAAGGCGGGAGAGGAGAGCGCGCCACCCGACGGGGGAGGCGTCGCGCCACCGCCCGCCGAGTAGGCGTCGAGGGTGAGCTTGAGGCCGACCACCTGGAGACAGCTCCGAGATGAGCCGAGGTGAGGCTGACTCAGCAGGCGGCGAGGGCGGAGCGTGAGGCGTTGCGGACGTTGCAAACGTTTGTGAAGGAGAGGAGCTGCTCCGCGCCCGAGTGCAGCCAGTCCACGTTGGCCAGGTTGAGGCCGTAGGACTTGACGGCGACGACCGACGTCGCGACGGTGGCAAAGACAAACGCGAGCAGGCTGGTGAAGCCGGCCTTGGCGGTGGGCGAGAGGCCGTTGCAGTCCTGGCAGATGAAGTAGAGGAAGAGGAGGTACGGCGGCAAAGAGAGCGGGAAGAGAGTGCCTGCGAGGTTTCCGGCCTGATCCGCGAACGCCAGAGTGCTGCTCAGGTCGCCGAGGGAGGTGTGCACGCTCGCCACGGCCTCGACGTCGAGCAGCGCGGCCGGCGCCGCACGCGGCACAAGCAGCGGCCGGGCGGCGATGGCAGTAGCGAGCAGCCTCATTACACAGCGACCTCTCGGTCTGTCTGCTTTACCGCAGCCACTCCCAGCGCTCAGTGTGAAGTTCAAACCGACCTCTGTCGAGCCTGTTGTGTTGTTGTCGAGCCTGAGCTCAGGCAGGGGCTGTAAGGTAGTGAAAGACCTTCCCTGGGTCTGTCTCTCACACCCTCACTGTCGTCGCATGCGAGGTTCTTGTTTCTTATCACCCTACTGTGAACAGAGAATGCCGAACAGCCCCACGGCGCTCTACAGACTACAGCCTGGATGGATACCCATCACTGAGCCGACAATGCTACGGGTAGCCCCAGGGTGGCGCCCACCCCCATACCCTCTGGCACTTGCCTGCGCCCTCACGCGCTAGCCCATGGCCGAAGATGGGCGGCGAGATGCCGCGGGCGCCTCGGGAGCAGTATGAATAGGGACGGGCGAGGGAGGAGGGGCGCTAATCACGGGCGACTACGAGTCGAAGGTTCGAGGACGACTACTCGCCGCCTGGGTCGTTTGGGGCGCGCGGCTCCGTCGAGGACCGGGCGCGCTCCTTACCCGGCGCGGCGTAGGTCCCACTCTGACGTATAGAGGGGAGGCACGGACAGCAGCCCAATCCATCAATTCCACTCACCTCCTGGTGCTCAGCCCCGTGCAACAGCGGTCCGGCAGGCTGCCCCCAAGGCCCCCCGGGCCGCTGCGGGTTTGGGAGTTATGCTTAGGCACAGCTTCGGCGATGGCAGCCCCTCTCTGGGGTGTTGCATAGGCGGGGAGTCTCCCCCGCTGGTCTCCTCCTTCCCATTTTTTTCTTTTCTTTTGAGAGCAGGACGCCGGGTTTGTCTTGTATGTGCATGTCGGGCCTGGGTGTGTGTGAGGGGCAGAGGGGCGGGAGCGTGCGGGGCAGAGGCCCAACGTCGGGCAGCTTGTCGGGGTCCGGAGCATTCGAGGCGGGAGCGAGGAGGGGCGGATGGGCGGTCGGCGTCGGGGTAGAAGCAACAGGGCGTACGGGGTAGCCGTCACTCTCCTGCCTCACAAGGGCGGGGCTGTCCCGGAAAGTG